CAAACTTTTCACACACACACACACACATATATATATATATATATATATATATATATATATATATATATATATATATATATTAATTATAAATTAATTGATTTAAAATATGGTTTCTACACAGGAATTACAATGTTTCAAAAACCGAAGCTAAAAACTTCAAAGTTAATTATATAATTAAATTAAAAGCATTAGTTCTGTTTCATCTTCAAGCGAATTTTGGTATTTACCGAGTTTTAAATTTTTTGTTTCCAATGTGTTGTGGGGATCTACCTACAAATGGACTCTTCCACACCTATATAATATGGCTACCAACTCTGAGTAGAGGAAGTCACCGAGTTAGAGTCACCGAGTAGAGACACCGAGTGAGTGAGTGAGTGAGTGATATACTATTTAACCTTATATCCGAGTCCGTGTTATCTTTCTATGGTTCTACACCATCACACAAGGATACAGAGAAATCCAATCATTTAGACAGGGGCGGTAGCGTGTTCATTTTTTTTTATTAACTATTATTGTATCAATTATGACTTACATTCGAAAAAGAGGTTAAGTCTAGGTAGGGTAGGGGTGCATTTTTCAACGAATTTTGACATCTATTCAACGGATGTCGTCTGTTTTTTTTATCAACGAGAAAAAGATTTTCGGCATTTTTTCCATTAAACTCGTACTTGTATACATAAATATTCTTTCTAAAAGAGGTGTTTGGGTTATATTGAACTACAATTTTACGTTATATTGAACTACAATTTTAAAATATTATTTTTACTCTTAATTACTAATAAACTATATTTCTTTTTAAAACAAATAAATGTAATATAATTATTTAAAAATTATTATTACATATCAAATATAAATATGTATATTACCAGCTCCCAATTTTAAAATTTTTAAAAAAATTTATTTTAAAATATTATTTAAGGAACATTTTTGACAATGTCGGCAAAAATAGCTATTTCATTTCTTTGATTCAGTAAATTTTTATTCTTTAAAAAGTTAGTAATATATAGTTTCTCATGTATGCACAAAAGACATGGGTCATTTAATGACCTACGTATTCTAGCTTTTCTCTTTAATTTCCATTTTACTGTATTACTTTTTTACTTTTTCTTTTTATTATAATATATATATATATATATATATATATATATATATATATATATATATATATATATCAGCTTCATTTGGATTATTTAGTACGTTTGTAAGCAAAATACTGCAGGTAATTCTGTATATTTTTCAGACGGTCTTTAAAACTAAGTACTTAAAAATTGGTAAAACCTATGAATCTATATTGGCGTCAGCACTCATAATATTAAAGTGCAGCTTTTACACAGAGTGCAATGTCGATATTTAAAAAAAAACCTGAAAAATCAACCTGCCCTGATACGCATCTGTTACGTTCATGACTTAAATAGTCACGCCCGATGTTGAGCTCGAACCTGTGTACAAACCTATTTCTTTTTAAATTAATTAAATACAACGCTGACCTACTGAAGAGATATAAAGTCTCCCTGAAAATAAACCCCATCTCCAGTGAATTCACCCAGAATCGGTGCGAAACAGAATTACTTGAGAGTGCGACATGGAGGAGAAACATCTTAACTGACAAACTTTCTCGCAGTATCAATCAAAAAACATTATCAGAAGAAAATAAACAGCAACTGTTCGGTTAGAGTTTTCGTCAGCTTTCAGGCTCATTCCCTTTAAACGATGCAGTAAAGCAAGGGTCGGCAACCTACGGCCCGCGGGCTGGATCCGGCCTGCGAAGACATTTTGACCGGCCCGCGAGCCTGATTACCAATGACTCTATATGTAACATGAGAGACGAGGCTTTCGAATTAGACAATCTGCCAGTTATCTTTCATGAGACTTATTTTACCAAGTTGCGTTGCCTACGTTTAATGTCAAATAATGGATCCATATTTGTTATGACCCTTGGCTACATTAAAAGATAACAGAAGCGAAAGGAACGATAAAGTGAAAGAGGCCAGGGAGGGACTGACATGCGAGGTAGCAGAAATCTAAAGACAGTTAAACATATGCGCATTATACATACATGCCTCATGAATGTGTGGATGATACCGCATGTGTGTACGTACATAACTGTATATGTTTGTAACTATTTGTACTTGTATGTATGGGTAATGTGCTTCGTTTTTGTTTGATGTGTGGGTATGGTTTGTTTGTGGAACAATTTTCAATAACAGTTTCAAACCTACACGTCATAATTTCATCCATTTCACTTCAGTTGATTTTTTTCACTTTGAAGTATTTTGTCGTTCCTTGGGGAAAAGTAATTTTTGTTAGGTTTTTTCTTAATTTTAGATTTTCTTCTGTTTTTCTGATTTCTCAATGTTTATTTTCATTATGGTTTTTAAATATTTAGGTTGACAAGGGTCTGCATATATAATTTTCCTTAATTTTTCATTAATGGCCTTCGTCCGGCCCGCGACCCGTCATTATAACACGATCCGGCCCGCGGGGTCGAATGAGTTGCCGACCCCTGCAATAAAGCAATCCTTTACAGTGTGCACTTCACCAACCAACTGATAGTCTTGTGGAAAAATTGTCTCAAATTTTCGTTCGCGACACAAAAGCCATAACATAATCATTGGACAGCTTTATAGAGTTTATATATTTATGTCACAAAAAAAAAAAAAAAAAAATAACAAAAAAAAAAAAAAACAAACAAAAAAAAAGAAACATTTTGACTACAGGGAACTTTTTTCTCGATTAAATTAATTTTTCTTATTCATCCGAAAGAAGAATTTCCCCGGAAGGACTCCTCGTCGAAATCTCCGATGTATCTTTTCTTTCCTATGAATATTACGGGAAAGACGTGCGGTTTCTTTTTTTCTGTGGTCGATGCAAAAGTTACTGGCGCCTTATTATTGTTTTACGTAACATTAAATTAATCTTTAGTAGCGTCTCTAAGATTTGAGATTCATTAACTGGGAAATCAGTCAACTCTACGATGTTTTTTAGAACCTCATAATCGTCCACGAAGCGTTTTTTTCTAGTTGTTTCTTGCTTCTACGGTCATTCATGATGAGCGAGTGATGTTATACTAAGGGCTCATGATGAGAATTCGGCAAACTGAATTCGTTAGACTTAGTTTGACGCAGATACCCTTTGGTTAATCTATGGATCTTTCTGTTCTTCTCAGCTAAGAATTAAATAACAGGGAAGAATGGATTGTATAGCCTTAATTGGCCACCGGTCTTAGAAGTCAATTTTGGCTTTAAGGCAGTATATTACTCCGAGAGAGAACATAACATGCAGCCATCGATAAGATTAATAATTGTATTATCTCGACAGCGGTCGTTCTACGACTGCGTCAATGGGTTATTATGATTTACGTTTTATCAGGAATAGTCAAGTTTATTTTTTTAAAGCTCTAGGAATAAATCCCAAGTTAGAAAAGTATGTTAGAGAAAAAGAAGTCTGTAAGCATTTCTCTTTCTTTTTCTTGCTCGATACAGAAAAAAATGGATACGGACGATTTTCTTCATATTTCGATCTTCTTGTATGTCGATCCGGGATAACTATATGTATATGTCTCGGGATATCTCGTTTAGTTCTTAGTTTCACTTATTGCTCACGTTAGACGAGACATCCCTCGATATTGGCAGAGAGACAGGAACAATATAACCCCCACCTCCATAGAGTAAATAAAGGGTTCAGATCGGAATTCCCTCTTGGTTAGCCGGACCGGCATATGCCTGATCAGAGCCGGAGGGATCAACGGCTGAAACGTTGTAATAACAACAGAAAAGATGATGATAACGGCAGCGTGTAAATAGGGTAAATATTGAAAGCTTTTCATCCCAGAATCTTAGACAGAGATTAATCGCAGGCAATTAAAAAAAAATAGCTCGGCCGAAAGTGAGACTAGATCTATGATAGCATTAAACATCTAGACTGAAACAGAAACCTAAAAAAATCTTGTCTTAGTTCTTTAGTAGCATTAAAAAGGAATTCCTACATTACAAATGAATTCACGCATTACAATAGATAACGTTTTATGACTAAGAAAATTGACCATTGATTTTATTGTGTGAAAAAGCCTGTCCTTGTGTAGTCAATGCATCATAGCAACTAATCAGTGAATTTTTTCATCATTCTCTGTATTTTCAAACCCGTCGTCTGAAGGACTACATCATTCCAGTTGACAGATGTGCTTTCCATTTCGTGGTTGTCTTTAACATGGTAAGGCTTTATCGTACTGTCCTGTATGTGACATACAAGAGTGGCCGATTCACGTTCAAATTGGTGCCGAACAGTTGACTGCTTGAGAATTCTTCAGAATAATTTTCAAAATACGCACCTGAATGTCTTATAGAACAGACATTATAGTACAAAGTTACATTAAGAATTCAAAATAACGATGAGGTTACTGAATATCATAAATATCGAGAAATCCCTCGAAGAATTAATCGAATCAAAACCGGAATTTTTCTTTGATGGTGTAAATTGTGCAAATTTAGTTGAAAGTTATTGAAAGAAAAATATGGAATTAAAAAAATAATCTTTGACTGAATAATTATGCTACGAATAATAGATTTTTGTCAAAATGCCAGAAACCTTTGCATTAACCTAGAAAAAAAAAAACGAGTGCTAAGCCCGTGAATAAAATTAAAAGAAACATGTAATAATTTTTCTGTCGATAAAAGTGTTATAGATTACAAATTATGAAATTGTTAGTCGATTGTAAAAATAAATAAAAGAAAATGAAAGGAACACTAAACCATACTTTATGAGCGTCCAAATATTTGGAAATAATAATAATGATAATAATAATATACTATATCAGAAAACATTAAAACAGATATTATCAACTGATTATAATAAAAAATAAAAAAACTTTAAAGAACCACCACAATTCTTTTCCAAAGACATTCAAACCTCCCGTCATAGCTCTTATAATAAACGTTCAACTGTCGAGTGACAAAGCTACGGGAATTTAGTGATCAAAACGAGAAGCTCTGTATATTATCCAGTTAGACAGATGTGCTCTCCATTTCATGGTTGCCTTTAACATGGTAGAGTTTTGTTGTACTGTCCCGTATATGACATACGAGCGTGGCCGATTCGGGCCGAAATTGGTACCGTACAGTTGACCTCTTGAGACGACTGCAGAATACTTTGCAAAAGACTCGCCTGAATTTCTTGCCGAACAGGCAGTAAAGTACAAAGTTACAGGCCGAGTTGAAAATGACCATGAGATTACTGATCGTAGTGAATTTGATATAGGTGGCGTTGCATCTCTGCTGATAGCTGTTCAAGGCCGTCCACAGGATGTTGTCTGCGATGGACGGAAGCTGACACACAAGGAAGACGACCACAACAGAAACAAGCATTAGTGTCATATTGTTTTCCTTGACGGCCGATGAGCTCATTTGTACCCTAGAAGCTCTGGAGGTGCGAATGGCATTGATGAGGCAGGTATTTACGTAAGCGAGCAGCGTAAAAGGCAAGAAGAACATGATTAGCAAATTCAGATAGATAAAATAGACCTCTTTGTAGATCTTATTCTGACCCAACTCTGTCGCTCGGTAGATAGGCTGTGTCTTGTTCACCTGGTCGTCCCACTCGAGCACCGTCTCATATTCAAACATACGCGGGATGTTGTAAATAACTGAGCCAAGGAAGATGCAAAAGACAGCCTTTTTCGAACGCGACGTTGTACATATATTAGCCGCCTGCAAGGGTCGGCACACGGCGACGTACCTCTCGACAGTGAAGCCAACTGTTGTATAAATGGTACCCGTCTGAGCAATTAGTGCGATCGGATAGGCAATTGGTTGGATGTAGTTGTAGACGAAGAAATACATATCCAGAAAGTATGCATCAACCTCCAAAGTCGGAATGGCGAAATTTACAATCATCGAGAGAAGAACGATGTTGTCGTAGACTGCGAGGGAGATAAGGTATATTGCCGTTGAGGATCTCATTCTCGGTTGGCTCAGGACTGTTATAGCGAGAATATTGAGGAGGATGCCGGAAACAGCAATAATATTTGACGTGATGCCCCATGTGTAGTACTGAAACGGACCGAGGTCGGCATTGATGTCCATACATCCTTCGAAGGACGAAGAATTGGTCATATCCTCTGTGTCGTTCATAATAAGGCGACAGACTTGTTGCCCGTTATAGCGTGCACATCACCTGCAAGAAGAAAAGGAAAACAAAATATATGAATCAATTATTTTAATTTAACCTTTAATACATCTTTTTTTCTATGATAAATAAATTACTTCGAAGTAAGATAAGTTATTTCGATGTCAAAATTTAGCTTCGGACAAAGAATAATCGGAACTAAATTTGTACAAAAGTTATATTGATCGATTTGTTTTAAATAAATCAATAAAATTTCAATGGACATAAGTCAGTATCTGTCTATATTTCTGAGATGAGGTACTATGTACACTATTATATTTTTCGGACTATTGTCACCATCTTTGTTGCCATATTTATTACAACGTTTAGGCCTTTCAGTATCTGTCTATATTTCTGAGATGAGATATTATATACACTATTTACATTATTCGGACTATTGTCCTCATCTTTGTCGCCCTATTTATCACAACGTTTTGGCCTTTTAGCATCTGTCTATATTTCTGAGATGAGGTATTATGTACATTATTTACATTATTCGGACTATTGTCCTCATCTTTGTCGCCATATTTATCACAACGTTTCGGCCTTTCAGTATCTATCTATATTCTCAGATGAGGTATTATGTACATTATTTACATTATTCGGACTATTGTCCTCATCTTTGTCGGCGTGTTTATCATAACGTTTCCCCAAGGATGCATGGCACAGTGGATAAAAGCTTTAGTTAGATCCAGTGTCAGGATCCAAAGAGTGTGAGTTCAATACCCGGTTAAGGCAGAGGAGAACTTTCAGAGGGAAATTAAACGGAGATAACTGACACCCATTAGACATGGCACGTGGAACTAGAACAGTCTACTCCAGTGAGTGAAATAAAAGGTTCAGTTCGACATTCCAACCTCCTGAAGAAAGCCGGAGCGAACAACGGCAGAAGCGTGAGAAATATGGCGACAAAGATGAGGACAATGTAAATAGTGGACTTAAGTCAATTAACTCAAACGTTTTGAGTTATATCTTTCGTCAACTGATAATTCATGATTTATTGGAACAAACTACTCGAATAAAAACAAAACTAAATTTATTAGACTAAACTACTCGAGTAAAAACAAAACCAAATTTATTAGACTAAACTACTCGAGTAAAAACAAAACAATTATTAGACTAAACTACTCGAGTAAAAACAAAACAAAATTTATTAGACTAAACTACTCGAGTAAAAACAAAACAAAATTTATTAGACTAAACTATTCGAGTAAAAACAGAACAAAATTTATTAGACTAAACTACTCGAGTAAAAATAAAACAATATTTCTTAGATTAAACTGCTCGAGTAAAAACAAAAATTATTAGACTAAACTACTCGAGTAAAAACAATGCAAATTTTATTAGACTAAACTACTCGAGTAAAAACAACACAAAATTTATTAGACTAAACTACTCGAGTAAAAACAAAACAAAATTTATTAGACTAAACTACTCGAGTAGAAACAGAACAAAATTTATGAGACTAAACTACTCGAGTAAAAATAAAACAATATTTATTAGATTAAACTACTCGAGTAAAAACAAAACAATTATTAGACTAAACTACTCGAGTAAAAACAATGCAAATTTTATTAGACTAAACTACTCGAGTAAAAACAACACAAAATTTATTAGACTAAACTACTCGAGTAAAAACAAAACAAAATTTATTAGACTAAACTACTCGAGTGAAATAGAAAACAAAATTTAAACGAAAAAAAAAATAAACTGCTTATCCACAATTTTGATTTAATTTATTCTAAAATGAAAATTATAATAAAAAAGTAAAAAAAACTTCGTCGGTTAAATTAAATACAATTTATTTGTATTATTATGAATTCTTGATAGCTAAATCAATTTTTAACAATATTTCACACACAAATGCGCACGTACGCACAGACACACCATTCAAATACCTATATATATATATATATATATATATATATATATATATATATATATATATATATATAAATATATATAAATATATATAAATAAGAAGAGAGAAACCGCAAACGTTTTTGGTTTTAATGTGGATTTTTTTTCAATATTATGCTTTAAAAAAAATCCATTACAACAAAAATCTATTACAACCAAAAATGCTTGCAGTTTCTCTCTCCTTTTCTCTCTTTTTAATATACACACTTTTCTTTTCGTTGAAACTACTATAACCTCTTTATATATATATATATATATATATATATATATATATATATATATATATATATATATTAAAAAATAAAGTTCAAACCCAAAATATATGATTCCATATAAGATTCCAATTAAAACAGGAATAAATATCTAACTTACGACTGCATAAATAAATTTAAATATGATTAACTATATATATATATATATATATATATATATATATATATATATATATATATATATAAGGACATCGGACTATACAGGGATGACGGGGGCATGGTAATGAGGAGCTCCACAAATTTTAAATTTGATAAAATTTGAAAGATAATATTCAGTTAATTCAGAAAACTAATTTTAAAAACTATAGTCAACACTAAATTAAAAAGGGTTAACTTCCTCGACATAACTCTAGACTTAATGAACAACATACACCTACCTTTCCGCTAATAAGGAAATATTCCGACAACATAGTAATTTTTATAACACAGCCCTAAAAAATAGCGGATACAAAAACGCTAACATTAGTTATAGAAACAATAGCACTAGCATAAAGAAAAACAGGAAAAGAAAAATAATGTGGTATACCCCTCCGTTCAACCAAATGGTTAGTACTAAGCTAGGACATAAGTTCCTAGCTTTAATCGAAAAACACTTCCCCACTAAAAGCAGACTTACCGAGATCTTTAATAAAAACACCAAAAAATTAAGTTACAGTTGCACTGAAAATCTAAATCTAGAATGAATCATAAAAAACATAATAATAAAATCCTAGAAACACACGCGCGCCAAAACAGTATTAATAGTAATCCTAAACTAAAATCAGACAAAAATAATTAAAAAATTATGTGATTGTAGAAACCCCGAAGACTGCCCGTTGGAAAATAAATGCCTCATAAAATCTATAGTATACCAATGCACTATCTCATCCATTGAGAGTCCTAACACCGATAGGATATACATTGGGTCAACGAAGAATGAATTTAAAATTAGGTGGAGGCAGCACAAAAGTGGTTCAATAATATTAGAAGTAGAAATCAGACATCTCTATCGAAATATTTTTGGCATTTAAAAGAAATGAATAAAAGACCAAAAGTAAAATGGAAAATAATAAATAGAACAAGAACTTGTAAAACCTGGGGTGACCCATGCCCTTTTATGCCTAAGTGAAAAACTACACATAATTAAGTTTCTAAATAATGCAAATTTATCAAACCATAGACATGAGTTAACGGTTTTTTCCCAACATCAACAACATTTCGCATTAAATAAAAATTTTTAAACCATAGAAATGAGTTAACGGTTTTTTCCCATCATTAACAAAATTTCGAATTAAATAATTAGCATAAAAAAATTCAAATTTCCTAGTTTAGTAAAAGGATAAAAAGCTTAACCCAATCATTAAAGGGAAAGACCCTTTATGAAGTCGTCAAAAAACAAATTGTAGTTCAGTGCGACGCATTTATATAGAAAACAGCCAGTTGAAAATAAACAAATAAATAAATAAACAAATAAAATAAAACAAAATTATCCAGAGACTTAACAACATACTATGGTGCCAAAATCTATCTTTCTCTGTGACTGACAAGACGATGCGCGTACATGAACGCCATCATTCGCTTTGAAATAGACACCTCACCCTACCTCAACTTGACCTCTCCCTGAAGATGACTGATATGTAGATAAAAATTAACTCTTAGGCCCCTTATCAAAAATGGTCGCCTCAGCCGTTTCCATAGTAACGAATGAACATGCTTATAACGATATGAAAACTTCAAAATTGGTTATTCCTAAATTTTCGCTTGAGGATGAAACAGGGATTGTTACTTTAATTCAATTTAATTTTAATAAGTATATTGATGGTTTCGGCTCTCGTTTTTGAAACATGATAACTCTTATATAGCTAAGGAATCATATTTTTAAAAAAATTATATAATGGACTCTCCCGTCGTTTTTTGACATATCAGTGTTAAGCAACTCAAGTCCTAGGAAACGACAGCCAGGCATCTGCAGATATGATTTATTATGATGAAGGCTTTGTGCAGAACCAAACACTTTGTGAAGAGCCGAATGCAGCGACCTGGAGCTCCGTGTGCCGCAAGGACCCCAAACGACCCTCCCCAGGTTTTAAATGCAGAGTCGTCCTTCTCCGAGACTAGTTGCAATCCGAGCCTATAGAACCAAGCCTATCTTGCTATTTAGTCATATATATATGTGTGTGTGTGTGTACGTGTGTGTGTGTACGTGTGTGTATCAGTGAGACATTTTATAGATCGTAAAAAAGTCCAAGAGGAATGTTTGTTTAGAAAAGGTTAAAGTAATTGCATCTAGTATGTTTTCTTTTCCAAATGTGATTTGCCAAATGGTGTCCTCTATTCTCACTCCACCGTTGTAACTGTGTCTGAAGCCTTCCATAAGCTGACAAGTAATTTCCATCTTTATTTCCGTAATTATATGGGGTATAGCAGCTACCAATCCATCAATTGCTATTGATCGATGTTTCTCGACCTCTCCTCTTTCAGGTGACCCCCACCCCGAGAAAATAATCACAAGGGGAGAGATCACAATGCTTAGGGAGATCATGCATCCTGGAAATAGCTCCCTCAAAGCCGCCTTCGACATTCTCTCTGTCCTGTGGAAATCATACAGCCGAATTAACACGGCTACATTTCCCACCGCCGTAACGTAGATTCCCTGTGCCTTTTCTGTACTTATTTTCCTAGTAATTGCTTTGATGAAGTTTATGGCACCTAGAATTTAGAGATTTAAGCACAGTACTAGATTGGCACTAATGTCCACAGTTTACAGTTGAAATGGC